CCGGTTCTTCTCCGTGAGGAGGTCTTGATGGGGCCACCCAAGAGGGGGTCTTGAATCCAAGGGGATCTTCTCCGTAGAGGGGCCGCGATCTCTCTCGTGGAGTAGATCCGTAATGGATGAGCGTAGCTCTATCTCTGAAATGAGCTATCACAACGCTAAACCTAACTAGGAGGAGGTGGAGGAGTATATATAGTCTAGGCGAATGAAAGGGTAAGTGGCTTGGGCCCAACACACGGGCGGGCGCACAGGCGTCGGACGTCCGATAGGTACCGGACGTCCGGTGGCTCGCGAGGGTCCGGTCGTCCGGTGCATGTCGGACGTCCAGCATTTTGGCTCTGGAAAGGTGGTGTCGGACGTCCGATCGGCGTCGGTCGGCCGGGCGCTGGAGAGTGTCGGACGTCCGGTGTCTGGCGGTCGTCCGGGCGCTGGGAGTCGTCGGACGTCCGGTGGCTCCGATCGTCCATAGATTCGGCTCGGGTCCTCAGGGGCCGGACGTCCGGGCTGGGCCGGTCGTCCGGTGGCTATAGCTTCGCGCAGATTCTTCTCTCGGTCCTTGTACTTGGCGTCCTCGCTAGCTGTTCCGTTGGATGTGGTGACTTCGTGGCTTTCCTCTAAGTACCTGATCATGCATAGAACACACGTTGGAGGTAGCAGCCATATCTCACATGTAGAAAGTGATGGTTCGGAGAGGAGCGAGTTCACCTTGTGTCCAATGGCGTATGTTCGAGGTCTCGTCATATGTCCACTTGGGGTTTGGAGAGTAGTCGGAGTGTACATGGGGATGAACGTGGGATGCTCCGCATCATCCCCCCTCCCTTGGGAAAGATCCGACCTCGGATCGTGATCCTCATCACCATGGAAACGGTTGTCGTAGACGGACTTGTAGTTGGACGAAGTGGAAGACATGGCGCAATCCAAGTAGTCCAAGGTGTCGCCGGAGTGATAGACATGCAAAAAGAGCAAACACAAGCAACACTCGGAAATACAATGATTAGTGCACACAAAGTATCCATCATGTAAGAATGAGTCCGTGCAACAAGATTGATCATGACAAGGTGCATGAAGCTTATCCAAAAGATATGGAAATGTATGCACAACATTCATGGTAGCAAAAGCAAGAATATGATGAATGCAACCACGGTGCAAAATGATGTCATAGTGAGACGGTTTATCAAAAGCATGAATATGGCAATGGATGTTCAATATGATGTGATCATGCAATTAATGGTAGGCAATAAGATCATGATGTAAGAATATGCCATCAAGGTATATCACAACAAATTTGCTAAGGAAATGCACAAGTTCATATATCATGGATGACATGGGAATACAAGATGCAACAAGGCAATCGTAATGGGAGTCAATCCATGCATGAGATGCAAATTTGCCATGTGTGTAAGATGTCCAATGAGCATGACAAGTGTGAGCACAATCAACAAATATGGAGGTGTTGGTGTACCAATGCTCGATGTCGTGGCATGAGTGGAGGTTCGAAGGTGCATCCAATAAGTCCGAGCGCTCCTCAACTTGAAGGTCCATGGGTTTCATCTCCAATGCCGGTCCTCCATCCAATAGATGTAACATGTAGACAAGAAGAAGGAAACAACAATGAAAGAGTGACCCATCCAATATGCGTATTTGAGGATGGCTCAAAGGGAAGGAGTTCACCTTTAGGAGATTATCGCAAACGTTGGTGTTGCACATCGTGTATGCCATCACATGACCAAATTGTGTCATGACAGTATCGCCTTGTGAATCCTTCAACATGAAAGAACATGACAAACACTCGGAAAAACAAATGAGGTTAGCGGAAAACCTATCATTCATGCGGTAAAATACCCAACAAGTGGATGCATCATGCTCATCATAATGAAGGACAAGGGAGCAGTTCATAGTACGGAGGCATATGATGTGAGAACAACCAAATAGAATAGGCGCAAGCAAGCAAGCATGCATCACAAGTAATGTGTTCAAGTCTCCAAGATCAATAAGCATAATTGGAGGCAAGCGACAATGAACAAGATGTATCATGTGAGAGGCATGAACATATATGTCATCAACCCAAGAAAGCAAGTAAGAATGGAACATGGGTGGTGCGACAAAGCAAGCAATCATGTGAATCAAGGCAAGCAAGCTAGTAGTGCGAAGATATGAGGAAAATAGTGGTCATGTGTGCAAATAGTGGTCATGAATAGTGCACAAGACATATCACAAGCATGAAGGCAAGATATGAGGAAAATAGCATCAATAGCATGAGGCACATGATAAACATGGCAATAGCAACAAGGATCTTCACCAAGCATGCAAATACACATAGGAGTAGCATAATGATGAATCATGGGTAGATGCAAGCAAGGGTCACAATTGCATGGCAAAGGCATAGGAGTAAAAATAACATGCAAAGTGAACACTGGAAAATGAGCATAAGGTGACAAGTGGTAAATAGCCCATATCCGTGTGAGAGACAAGTAAAAGATATGCGCGTAGTCCTTGCGCAAAAGGAATGGTGGGAATGAAAGTCCCCGGGATCCCAAGTCATCATTGCTCTCAAGAGCTCGTTTCGTCAACTCTTGGGATTGAGAGGTTGACGAGTATACGTGAGTACCTACACAAAACAAGGACAAAAGGAAAATTGTGTCTGTGTGGTAGATGTAGACATCATCCATCATGATGCGCACGTGCTTGTGTTGGTTAGCACAAAATATCCAATGCTCAAATAAATGAGATGCGTGATATAGAAACATGTCATCCATCATGAGAGGTTTGTTATTATGTATAGCATAATGGAGACTCAAATTGTGTAATGCATCACAAGAAATATGTAGAGCATTGTTGTTCATGGAATGCATATGGTGCAAGCAATTATGGGAATCATGCAATGTATGGAATGCATCAAAATCTCCTAATACCCATGAGGAAACTATGGGGGTCTGCTCATGGGCATGAGTAGCAACATCGCATGGAGAATATTGACAACATCCAAAACAATGCATATTTGGAACAATGTGATCATGGCATGGTATAGTAGATGAATTGCGCAAATCATGTAAAGGAAGCATGGCAATATCATCACAAGAGAAGCAAAAGCCAATGTCCATCATCTCGTCATCTATGCCATAAGTGCAAATGGGATGTATTTGAATGGGGCATGCATAGTTACTATGTTGAGATTGGAATAATGCAATATGGGATATCTCACTCATAGCATATGACAAGGTTAATGGATTGTCAAACATGATGT